TAAAATACCATGGTATCCCAAAATTTAACAGCCAATTCTTATGTAAAATTGTCCCCTGAATCTGAAAATGTCATCAAAAGTTAAAAAAGTAAAACAATTTTTCAGATATAGTTAATTTTCCATTTAATATGGAATTGACTATATCTTAAAAACTGCTCCACTTTTATAATTTTTGACGATATTTTCGGATTCAAGGGACAATTTTACATATGAATTGGCTATTAAATTTTGGGATACCATGGTATTCCATGGTTAACCATGGTACAAGTGAAAAAGCAGCCAGTAATAACTATTAAATTAGTCATTATTGACTAATTCATTTTTAGAGAGTAGAGAGTAATATAGTGATTTCTTCGTCACAGGACATCATGCAGAATAACAGTGAATTAAATACAGTGCATGATGGAGAACATAAAAAACTAATGGCAACAAAATTAATAAATTCGGAAAATACTTTTAACATACCACCCGAAAAATATTAGATATATATAAATCATCCTGTTCCGGCCTAAACATTATAAATGCTTCACAAACTAGAGATACCACACTTTATGATATTTGCAACAAACTATTTCAGACGTCAGACCAAGGAATTATTAGTTACCTTCAGAATCCAGAAAAGGGATAAGGAATCCGAGAAAGAAATATATTAATTATACGATATTTACAAAAACGAAATTAATAATTTATGTTATTTGATGAAAAGTAGTTCTGTTTACATAAAAATTGTATGTCCAATAACTATGGTCCATGTGTCCAATTAACATGTTTTTATAAAACTTTTATTAAAAATTCATATTCTTAAATTCTACTTGGGAAAGAAACGGATTTATTTAAAAACTAATACTTTGCAAAAAACAACATTCTATTATCTGTATAACATTGCCTACTTTATTTTTAGTAAGTATTCAGGCATAAATGTAAAGGGGCATGCATTTATTAAATTATAAAGCTGTCAAATTGTGCTGGTCTGCGGCCTGTGTATGTATTAATAAAACTTAGTGTCTACAGGAAGTTCTCCATTACAATAACAATTCTGACTCGGACTAATACAACTTAAATTTTATTTAAATCAGTTCGGTTCGTACGCCAAGGTTATAATCTTTCCCTTTGCGTTTTTGTTTCGTCTTATTTTATGTGGTTTTGATTGGAGATTGGAGAAAAAATTACGCATCGTCCATGTTGGTTTACAGAAAAGTAGGGATTTTCATCCAACGAGGTTTTTCGTTAAGTGAATAAATAGATAACGAAGTGAAGTTTTTAATGTTAAAATAATAGTTTGGTTTATCTATTCTAATAGTGTTCTAGTTTTAACACAATAACAATAGTGACGAAAACAGAGCCTAAAATTATTTATTTGTAAGTATTTAAAAAAAAATTACTATTACATTTAAATCATTTAAATAAACCTACAAATTTAATACATATTTATAAGCATACAAATATATCATATTTATAAGCATACAAATATATCAATTTGTTATTATTTACCAGTTTTGTATAAATTTGAGTGCTGAAAAACATTTCAAACCTGAATGTAAATTCAACCCCACAAATATACCCTCATTTTAATTAAATTATTAACATTTTCGCCCATACTATAGTAGGGTATACCTTTATTATCTCATAATGAAAATATGAAGCTTTTATGTCATGTTTTTTTAGGAAGACGTAGTGACACGCAATAAAAGTATGACTCGAATGTATGCTGAAAATAACTTTCTATTAATATTTTATGCATGAGTCTTTTTTAGGGTAAATAATCACTTTTGAAAGTGTGCGGTATATCTTTGTCGACATAATATGTCAACTACATATATTATAGTGTTTTAAAATATTTGATAGCTTTCGAGCGATTGTTTAATAAAAACGAGAGTCTCGGGAAGCTTATAAACCGAATTTTATTTTATTTACACAAGGTGTCCCTAAACTTATTGGCATTAATTTAGTGTAAAAGGGTTTTATTTCCCGGGGGAAAACTTTCCTTTTTAAGCTTGGCGTCACTTACCGTGCTGACTTTCTAATAAAATCTCGAGCGCCAACTTCAACGGGTTTAAAGTGGTTGAAGTTCCACTATGTGCGAGGGTAGCTTTTAGGGTCAACAGTGGAGATAAAATTCCAGGGTTCCGGGGAATTTAAGAATAAATGATGTGGTTCGGTTAATACATATATTGAAAATAAATCCTCGCATGTACAAAGCAATAAATAAATGGAAAATGAATCTACACAGAATAATTTGAAAATAAAAGGGAAGTCTCTGAAACAAACAAACAAACAGAAAATTAGTTACTACAACTTACTTTAGCGGTCTGACGGTCGGGACGGCGGTCGGTCGGTGTTGCAGAAGTACTCGCCGCACTGATGAGAAGTGATAAGTGATCCCTTCGAAGGCGCTGCGCCCGCTTATATGCCCTCTGGTCTCCCTCCTAGGGCCGGCTGCGCGAGCCTCCAGCATGATGTCAAGATTGACCAATCCCGGCGTTGTGGCAAATCTTTTGACATGACGGTGCTCTCGGTTGCTGCTTGGCATAAAAACGCTTCGTCGAAAGGCAGAAGTAAACAATCTGGCTGTTTTTTGCTGTGCGCTTTGACTGTCCTACGGGTCATTCCGGTGGGGCGCTACATATGGGCTATTCCGGGGTCGTTTATGACTTATGTGAAATAAATCATTTAAATCGGGATTCTGTAACACAGGGTAGGGATAGGGAAAAAGTAACTTCGTTACATTAGGAAAAGATTGAGCGTCAAAATAAGACAAAAACCTAAATAAATATTTTTCCTAATTACTTATGTTTACAAGATACAGGGTGATAAAGTGTTACTTATCTATCAATTTTTTTAATATTATAACTTCTACTATGGTAGTCTTGGAAATGTGATATTTTGCGAACAGTCACTTACTACCAAAACACATATTTACTCATAATTACAATTGTTTGAGTGAACACAGTGTCGTAGAAAAGGGGGTTGCTTAAGCTTATTGTCCCATACAAACTTTGAGGTTAGGTTTGTATACCATTTGATGCAATTTACTCAGTAAGGCTACTATTACAAAGGTGTACCTCTCAAACTTCGATAAAATAAACCGTTTCCGAGATATTCGAGATTACAATAATTGTTATATCGCATTATTTAAAAGGATTAAAAGGTATATGATAATGGTTTTTTATTGACCGTCACATTAAAGAAATTGTAGTTTTTTCAATTAAAAAATTTCTTATCATCTACTTTTTAGTCATTTAATGCGATATAACAATTATTGTAATCTCGAATATCTCGGAAACGGTTTATTTTATCGAAGTTTGAGAGGTACACCTTTTTTATAGTAGCCGAACTGAGTAATCGAAAAATTGCATCAAATGGTATAAAAACCTAACCTCAAAGTTTGTATGGGGCAATAAGCTTAAGCAACCCCTGTTTCTACGACACTGCGTTCACTCGAACAATTGTAATTATGTGTGAATATGTGTTTTGGTAGTAAGTGACTGTTCGCAAAATATCACCTTTCAAGTCTACCATAGTGGAAGTTATAATAAAAAAACTGATATGATAAGTAACACTTTATCATCCTGTATCTTTTAAACATACCTAATTAGGAAAAATATTTATTTAGACTTTAGTCTTATTTTGACTTGCTTAATCTGCTCCTAAATTAATATTTTTATTTTATTTTAAAAGAATCAATATTAATTTAAAAGAACAACATATCTTACTAACAACAAAATCTTTGATAAATTGCAGATGCTTGGTTTACCACACTTTCATTTTACTTTCAAAATATTTTTTTGCGTAGGCAATAAAACTAGTATGCGACCGGAATTAATAAAATCAGATCTCCCGAATAAAATTCTCTCAAATAAAGTTAAATTGAATTCCCCTTTTTTTGCTCATGGAATTCTGAATTACGTTAAAGTATACTCCAAAGGGGATTTATTTGTGTGTAAAAGTACAGCCCAGAATTATTGAGTTAAGTTTGTTGAAAGTTTAGATGGCCCAAAGTTTGTCATTTATTTAATTTTTGATCAAAATGATAAATTTAGTATAACAGGACCATTAAAATAATAATTATTTTTCCATCATAAATTAACATTACAAGGGTAAACAAGCATTTGGAGAAATGACCTAATTAATTAATATAATAAATTTTATTTAGGGATCAGGAAGGTTAATTAAAACAAAAATAAACATAATTTTATACTCGGCCAAGCGCAAGTTTGAACTTGCGATTAAATTAAACCTTTTTAGGGAGAAAAATTACATTTTGTCTGGCGAGAATTTTTAACAAAGAAACGCAATTTGCTCTGTGTTATTGGCCATTTTACTCTTAATTTCATGGATAATAATTTTTTATTTTATCTTTGTTAAATTTTGTTCACAAGCAGTTTGGTAAATTGCTATTCAAAACATTATGAACATTAGATTATTGTATAGTTTCTGTAATAATTAAGGTTACTTATTAGGCTCAAAAGTTTCGTTTAGGTATAAAAATGAGCCTGTAAAAATAAGAGCTCTTAATTTTAATTTCTTAACTTTTTGATTTTCCAACACTTTACTAAAATAATATCATAATATATTTTTTTTTAATTTCATTTTTGTTATAAAAAATCTATATAACAATTTCAGTATTTGGAGAGCATTCAATTTTCCATAAAAATATTTAAATGCATTTTCTGTATGACACTTTGGTGGTGAATTACAAAAAGAACAAAAAAAAAAAGTTTCACATGTTGTTCTTGAAAATTGAAAAGTTCGATGCAAAGCATTAAGAAATAAAAATTAGGAGCTCATATTTTTAAAGGCCCATTTTCATACCTAAACTAAACTTTTAAGACAAAAAACCAATTCGCTTTTTTTTCAAACACCCCATTACTTATGTCAATCTACAAAAGAAAAAAAATAGTTTAGCTTTAAAGGTTATAACACTTTGATCTCATTATCTCTGTTTTGTTTTTGTACATCGATTTTCAATGTTATTTTTTGTTTTCAGATTGCATGCGGTGGTTGTAGTGATGGCCTAGCCGTGCTGGGCGCGGGTCGCAAAGAGCATGGCCAGGGTGCGGATGGTCAGATGGGCTTGCTGGGCTGTGATGCTAGGACTGTGCGCTCTGGCCACACATGGCGAGGTAAATATCATGGTCTTATTTTTTAAACACTATAGTGTATATAAAGGGTGGGCCATGTTTATGTTGAATTATAAAATAGCAATGAGAACAAGAAAAACTGATTTTTTTCAACGAATTTTGCTTTATTTGATACAATGTTTCTTCCGATTAAGTATGGAAAATGATTTTATTTAAGTGGCCACCTCAGCTGGCTCGGCAGTAGCCCATCCTGGAACACCAATTTTCGAGCACTTTGTCAAAAGTTTGCTGCTCTATTTAGGCAATTTGAGCTTGAATGTTTTGTTTTAAATGGTGAGGCTATGTTACGGCGACGTGTGGATTTTCCGTGGCCCAAATCCTACAGTTTTGCTTGTTGACATAACCTCCGAGGTAAAAATGCGCCTCATCCGAAAAGATGATTTTTCTTGCAAAATTAGGGTCATCGTTTAACTGGTTTAAAGCCCACTCAGCAAAGCGAAAACGTTGTGGATGGTTAACTTGCTTTAACTCCTGAACAAGCTGGACTTTGTACGCAAACATACCGAGGTCTTTGTGCAGAATCATCCTCAGAGTGGTACGGGAAAGGCCGAATTGTTGACATCTGCGCCGAGTTGATGTTGACGCGTTCATGCGTACGGCAGCGATTGCTTCAGGTGTACGTCTAGGATGAGCATGCGAAACATGTTTTATGTCCACCAGCATTCCATTTCTGCATAATTTTTTGATCAAATTTGTAATACTTTAGTTTGACGGCGCCTCATTTCTTCCAAACGCAATTTTCTTGCCGTCTCTGCGATCACAGTCACATTCAAAGTAAGTTTTGGGTATTTCGAAACGTTGATCCAAATTTATTCGGTGCATATTTTGTAATCGGAAGGTTAAAACTAAACCACTGTCAACTATTCATGGCGCTTAAGTTGAAAGCTTCATTAATAGCACGTAGTTTAAAATTCAACTTATAGATGGCCCACCCTTTAGATTTATATACAAAAATTTATTCTGTCAAGTTATCCATAAAAAAGACATTGAAATAAAGTTAAACTAATAGTTACATGGCATAAATATTTTTATGCTTAGTTATAACAAATAAAAACACAATAGAAACTTAAAACAACAATGGAACAAAAAATAGAGAATTCAAAAAATTTCTACCATATATACAGGGTGTCCCACAATGAGTGCGACAAAATGAAGGTGTATTATCTAAAGACCGCCAGGATTTCCAGAAAATTGTTTAAAAAATTCTTTCTTCATTATTTAATAAGATACAGGGGAGTCATATTTTCTTTATAAGGCAACATTGCCTCATAACAAAATAATAGTTTAATTCTTAATCATCATGACAACAAACAACAATGTTAGAAAATGCCAAATTTAAATGTCAAAATTTGTTACTTTAAGTTATAGGTTATTTATTTTACGTCAGACTGGATAGAAAAAAATACAGGGAGTCCCTGTCTGACGTAAAATAAATAACCTATAACTTAAAGTAACAAATTTTGACATTTAATTTTGACATTTTCTAACATTGTTGTATGTTGTCATGATGATTAAGAATTAAACTATTACTTTGTTATGAGGCAATGTTGCCATATAAAGAAAATATGACTCCCCTGTACCTTATTCAATAATAAAGAAAGAATTTTTTAAACAATTTTCTGGAATTCCTGGGGGTCTTTAGATAATACACCTTCATTTTGTCGCACTAATTGTGGGACACCCTGTATATACGAAAATCTTATAAGATTTTCGTCACCTCTACTGCACAAGACAAAAGTAGAGAATACTAAAATCTAATTGTAGAGACTATTTGGATTTCTCTATCTTTTGTTTTATTGTTTTTTAAAGTTTCTATTTGGTTTTTTATTCATTAAAACTAAGCATAAGAATATTAAATATAAATTTTATATCATGTTATTAAAAGTTTATTTTTATTTCAAGGTTTTTCATGGAAAACTTAACAGAATAAATTTTTGTAAACAGTAATTATTGTGCATTTGTGCTGAATCCAGTGCCGTGCATGGATTTTTTTAATTCGCTGAAATAAATTCTTAAAAATTAACTCTTAAAACTGAAACTGATAAAGATTTTACAGAGGTGAGTCGCAAAGAAATAAAAATAACAATGTGTTTTTTACATTTTTTACACAAGCAAAATTTTAGCTTATTTTTTTAAATGTCTATCTAAAAAATTCCTTATTCAATAATAAAGAAAGAATTTTTTAAACAATTTTCTGGAATTCCTGGGGGTCTTTAGATAATACACCTTCATTTTGTCGCACTAATTGTGGGACACCCTGTATATACGAAAATCTTATAAGATTTTCGTCACCTCTACTGCACAAGACAAAAGTAGAGAATACTAAAATCTAATTGTAGAGACTATTTGGATTTCTCTATCTTTTGTTTTATTGTTTTTTAAAGTTTCTATTTGGTTTTTTATTCATTAAAACTAAGCATAAGAATATTAAATATAAATTTTATATCATGTTATTAAAAGTTTATTTTTATTTCAAGGTTTTTCATGGAAAACTTAACAGAATAAATTTTTGTAAACAGTAATTATTGTGCATTTGTGCTGAATCCAGTGCCGTGCATGGATTTTTTTAATTCGCTGAAATAAATTCTTAAAAATTAACTCTTAAAACTGAAACTGATAAAGATTTTACAGAGGTGAGTCGCAAAGAAATAAAAATAACAATGTGTTTTTTACATTTTTTACACAAGCAAAATTTTAGCTTATTTTTTTAAATGTCTATCTAAAAAATTTATAAAGCCTGAGTGTAATATTATAACTTATTACAGCAAAATCCTTATAAAACAGTCATCAACAATTTCGAATGGGTGAATATATTGAGATGTCCCCCAAGTAAAAATGATTATTTTTTTTTTGGTTGTTTCACTGTTAGTCTATATTTGAAATAAGTTATTGTATCTTAATATTTTTAAAAATACAATTGTACATACATAAAATATTTATAAAAAAATCTATTTACTGAGATATTACACTTCACGGTGGATAGGTTTTTAAATAGCAAATTAATGAACTTAAACTTTTGAATTATAAAACAGCATATAAATTCTAACTAACCTTCAGGAATCACATGTATCTATAATGTCGTAAACAGAGGTTTTTGCTTATTTAAAATGATTAAAGCGCCATCCGTTGCATAAAATTTAAATCAAAAACAGATTCACGGAGGATAGAATCAATTTTTGTAACACCTACATAAATGGTTATAAAAATTATTTCTTTTAATTTTCAATAAAATTTTATATTTGATTCGATTGCTTTGGATGTGTTTAATTTACTTAGTGAAGTGATATTTTCAGTATGCTTTTACTACCTCAGATATTTGAAAACATATAGGTTAAGCTAGAAAGAGTCACGGAGGATTGGTTTTAGACTTTAAACATTGTAAAAAATAATTAATATTAATTAATTTAATACTACTTTATTATGAAAGATCAAAACACAATAAAAGTGTAGGTCAAACTCATTTAGTTTTATCATTGAGTAAAGAAGTCTTTACTCAATGGTTTTATTAAATATCACGGGGTAACACCATCGGGGATTCACCCGAATAAAATCGACAAAAAAAATTTCCTCGACAAAACTCGTTACGCCTTTTGGATCGATCAAAACCATGAATCAAATTTTTGCATAAACCAACTATAGTTAATTAATTAATTAATTATAATTAATTAATTAATTAATTATAATTAATTCAATAATTAAACGATTTCCTGAAAAGATACTGAAAAAGTGATGAATAGTACATCACTTTTTCAGTATCTTTTCAGGAAATTGTTTAATTATTGAATTAATTAGTTGGTTTATGCAAAAATTTGATTCATGGTTTTGATCGATTATATATCGCGGACCTAGTAACTTTGCAGTTGCATGCAGTTAATAGAAGTCTCATGACTTCGCTTTGAATTTGCTAATTTGAAATAAAAAAGTTGCGATATCTGATGAAATTTCGACGGAAAACACAACGATAATTATTTATGTATACAGGTTGTAATTAAAGAGTCAAGTACAAAGAAAATTGGGGCGCTAACATTAAAGTTTATACTGAAAATGCCGCAGAATGGTCAGAATGGTTTCATGCAAATATACACTTTATTAGAGTGGAATTTATTACGTAATTTTTTGTCTATAATATTGTGACGTTTATTTATGTTTCCGAGGACTATATGTCAATATAAATAAAGATACCATAAGAGAATTGCCATAAAACATATTTTTAGTGTTTCGGATTTTCATTTGTTGCCATGGTATAAAATAATAAATACGACGTGTGTTCAGAAAATATCGGGAATTTTCGTTTTTTGAAACAAATATTTATTTATTCGTCTACATTAATGTTGTCGCCTTCAAAATAGTCCTCATTGGATACTATGCACATGTGCCAGCTCTTTTTCCAATACTCGAAACACTTCTAAAACTCGATATTCGGGATAGCCTTTAGTTCTTTCAGGGATGCGCTTTTAATGTAATCTATGCTTGCAAAACTACGGCCCTTTAAGGTTGTCTTTATTTTTGTTAATAGGAAAAAGTCAGACAGAGGCATGTCTGGCGAATATGGAGGCTGGGGCATCATTACAGTATTGTTTTTGGCAAAAAAAATTTTCTAAATTTAACAATTTTAGAACAAACTTTGCTGCCACGCGTTTTATACCCAAAACATTCGAAAAAAATTTATGGGATGAGCCAATCGATATACCAACATGATCAGCGACTTCTCTGATGGTTTATAACCATTTCTTCCACTTTTTCTATGTTTTTATCGGTTGTTAATGTGCTTGTGCGTTCGGGGCGTTCGTCATCTTCAACGTCTTCACGGCCATCTTGAAAACTCTTATACCACTTGTAAACTCTTGTTCTACTTATAGTAGACTCACTATAGGCCTTTGTTAACATTTCACAGAATTTATATCATTTTTTAAGCAAAATTGGATACAAATTCTTTGACACATTTCTTTTAACGAACTAAAAATCGCCGAGCTCATAAAACA